AGACAGTTGGGTCGAGCGCGTGTCGTTCGTTGTGAATTATAGCGTTTGTTTACGTTATAGCGTGACCGTGGAAATTAAGTGAATTTCAAAGTTGTATTGAGAAAGAATAAACTAGCGTTATTTAAGAAAGGACTTGTGTCGCTAAAGTTTCATCTGAAAGAAATTATATGGAAATTAACTAACGACCAGAGACGTACACATACAAATCTAAAAGCTGAATTGATATGACACATTTTTAATGCATATCATTTTTATTTAGTAACCTTTATTAGCATAATTATAGACATTTTAATGGATTTGTAAAAAAAAAGTTATTTTAAAACTAAAATGGAGAAATTTTATAATTATAAATTAACCAGAAAGCATGTACAGGCTTTCAACAAATATGATTCTAACTTCATTACTATGACATATATATTTCACCCATTAATCATCATTCCATCCAATAGGAAATGTTATTTTTCTGCTGGTTAGAGTTGCCTTAACTCTTTTTTTTTTTCTACTAATTTATGAAAACACATTTATAAGAAATATGTGCCTTGTGGGTAGAGACAGGGTTAAGTTTTTATAGGTCTTGTAGCAAACAGGATGGATAGTCATTTGTGTCCACAAATACTTCCATTCGACTATGATGGGAACGATTTGGAATTTTTGACAACTCTGTAGAACACATGCATGTAGATAGCAAAAGGATTAATGCTAGAATTTGGTCAGGATCTGTTGTAACTACTTGAACTCTTAAGTGTAAAATGAAGGGGTGAAAAATATTTCCTTTGGATTTGTTTGGTTTGTCTTGAATTTCTCGCAAAGCTACACAATGGCTGAGTGTGCTAGCCATCCTTAATTTAGCAGTGAAAGACTAGAGTTAAGGCAGCTAGTCATCACCATCTACCTCCAACTCTTGGGCTACTCTTTTACCAAGGAATAGTGAGATTGACCGTGACATTATAATGCCCCTATGGCTGAAAGAATGAGAATGTTTAAGGATATGATGATTTAATTAGAAAACAATAAATCTTAAATGAAAAATTTCTTAATTGAAATAACTGTGATTGCAAAAAGAAATTCACAAGATATATAAGTTAATGGTTCATATTGTGTAAAATGTTTATTGTGAAATATAAAAATGAAAAATCCCATCTTTTTTTTATTCAAACTAAATTTCTTGGCCTTTTAAGATTGGGTTAAAAGAAATTATAGTAATAAGTAAATAATAAAATTAATAACTGTAAAACTAATTAGTCTTTAATGACTGGTACCAATGTTGAAATTTGTTAACTACTATAAATAGTAGTATATAA